AGCAGGTTCCTCTCCCCCGGGCTATGGTTCCGCTTTTGGCAGAAACCTTACACCTCTCTTCCCCAAAGCCCTTCTGACCCTTGCCAGTTCTCTTGCTTCAGGCCATCCTCCCTAGGTCCCCTGAAGACAACCTCCACATGCAACAACGCTCCTTGCACTTTCTGCAAAGAATTCTGATCCTTCTCCACAGCCCTCCTGTGCACACTCATGTTAGCCCAGAGTGGAGACAATGCCTGCCACCTGTCGCCCTCCCTACGCAGCAGCGGTCACCGGGGTGAGACACTGGGGAAGCCCAGGGCCTTGCCCTCAGCAGCCCTCAGCAGGCACAAAGACCACCAGAGAGGAAGCAGGAGACTACCTATTTCCCTATTACCTGCCTGAGGACATCTCTCACTGTGGGGCTGAGAACCTCCCGGGTCAGTCCTTGAGTCCATCAGGCATCACCCTGCACAGAAATCCTATGCAATACAAATTCAGCAAGTGTGCTGAGGACCTGAGACCCTGCATCTCCATGGCGCTCCCAGGCCAAGTGAAGCTGGTCCACGGCCCACAGAGAGAGCAGCATGGCTTGCACCAGGTTGCTGCTCAGTACTCCTGGGGTACAGCCTCTACCCCTCCTCCTCCAGGAGGCTGTTTCAATGGCCTTCTTCAGGATGGCGTCCTTCCCCCCTCCTCCCTGATTATGGCTCCTGCGCCTCTGAACTTTTTCCTTTGAAGCATTTATAACTGTAATTAAAGAGTATTTGTGTAATTATTAGTTTAATGTCCGCCTCCCAGGGAGACTGTAAGAGCACCAAGGACGGGGCCGCATAGCATCTAGTACATCCTGGCTGCCCAGGCCTGACCGGTGCTACTGTGGTCTGCAGCAGGCAGGGCCAATCTGGAGCAGGAAGGTAAGGTCTGCACCAGGAGAGCACTGAGACCTCAGGGCCCACTACTCCGTTTTGACACAGCACCAGTTTCCACTGCACATCACCTGCGCGGAGGTGTGGCTCAGGAGCAGAACTTTAGGTTGGAAAGCAACCTTTGCCAATTAAAAAAAAAAAGGTATTCTAAAGCTTTACCATTTATAAAACAGTTCTGGTTTGTATTACCACTCTCTCTGCCAGAGAACAAGTGGAACCTGGGAAATAAGCCTTGGCTTTGGGTATGGTGCAGGCCCTAGCAGAGGAAGCTGTGTGTCTGCTCCTTGACCTGGCTCCCTGTGCTGTGCACTGACAGATCTAGCTTTTCTTCTGCCATCCTATTTGACACCCAGCACACAGAAGGCCTGCCGCCCTGGCATGGGCACAGTTTTCTGACCCTTTCATCATCGTAGGGGAGGGGATAAAGTCTGAAGCAGTCCCTGGATTTGGACACCAGCTCTGTGGCCTTGGACAGGTGACTTGACTCCTCTGTGCTGTTTCTAGGGCTTACAAGTGAGACTAATTCTGTGGCAACATCTACACGGACTAAGGAACAAACTGCCTACAAAGCATGGAGCATTATCCGTGGACACATGATTATCAATCTGCTCAAAGGTGAGTCCAGTTCAAAACCTTCCAAACCTCTCCATTGTGTTGCTCAAGTCTCCGCCCAGCAGCTCCACCCAGGCAGGAGCTACTCTTCCCAGCCCCCTCCTGCCTCACCTGTCTGGAGCTGGTTTGAAACAATGAATCATAGCACAACTCTGCAGCGCCCATCAATCACCTCCTTGCCTCTCTGCCTGTATCCTTCCCAGGTTCCTTCAGGGAGGGAAATCCTTTTCCTAACATCCAGGATGTTCACTTAACAAGCATTTATGAAGGGTCCACTAAGGACCAGTTCCACAGGAGCTCAACAATGGACAAAGCAAAACAAGCACAAAGTAACAAATTCATAGGCACCGAAATCTGCTAGCCACACAGATGAGGAGGTTCCAGCAACACAAATCCATGGGTGGAGATCTGTCCTGGTGTCTAGCCCTTCCTTCTGGCCCTATTCTTCCCCTCTGGCCAGTCCTAAGGGAGCCCCACACGACAAGTACAAAGTATGAATAAAGTATTCCAGATCAAAAAATGGTAATTTGGGAACATCCTGATGACTAAACTTCCACCCTGCTGGACTGCTGGACTTTGAAGAAGTCAGTATTAAAATAGCCAGAAGCACCCAGTTTCTCCAAGTCACAAGGGCCTGTCATACCCTTCAGGTCTGTGTGACAGCCTCCCTGGAAAATAGCTCCATTTAGGTTCCCCAGCTCCTGCAGGTGGCAAGAGACAGAGGTTTCCTGTTCTCAGAACCACATTATCTGAAAGGAGCTTGATCAGGGAGCTCCAGGAGTCACGGAGGTAGTGACACTGTGGATAGAGATTCTTAAAGCTCAAGTTTGAGCACTGGCTCTGTCCCTTACTGTGTGTTCTGGGACAGGGAGAATTATCCCTGCTTCCTTTTCTTTTAAATAATCTCTAAGGTTCCTTTCCAGCTTTCAGTCAAAAGGCTGGATCAACCGCTGATCAACTGCTGACTCAGACTCAGCAGATCCAGTTTTTTGTTGTTTGAGACAGGGTCTTGCTGTGTAATTCAGGCTAGCCTTAAACTCACAGTAATCCTCCTGCCTCAGCCTCCTGATACAGATCTAGATTTTTTTTAATTCTATGCACTGTGCCCTAGCCTGGGTCAGCCCCTGGCCAGCCAGGCAGCATCCTGGGTAACAGAGCCAGATGAGGAACCTGCACCTTACATCAGTCCTGGCAGAGACTGAGATTTCAAGGGCCTCTTGCCTTTATCTATTGACTCCCATCAAGAAAGAAGTTGTGCTTCTTTCCAAGGGCAATCTTGCTCAAAATATCTCCACGCCACAAAGCAAACTTAAAATAGAAGTTGTGCAAAATCTCTGGTGGTCCCATTAGTCTGCTTTCCTCCAACCAGAGAGCCATTACAGAACCTTGACTGTCTCTTGTCTAGAGAGGAAGAGGGAAATAAGCCTCCCTGATAGGAAGCGCCCAGTTGGGGGTGGAAGTGGCCCAAGTAAGCACAGAAAGACTGGCTCACACACAGGGGGCCTAAAACAGGAGACTCACCTCCCACACAGGATACCTCCCAGGCCAGGCTAAAGGGAGACAACACCACCCCCAGAGCCTATCTCTTAGCCCCACGGGGAGCAGCTCCACTCCAGTGTCCTCCTGACTGACAGCCAGCTCTGTGTGGGCACTGGAATTTCCAGCCACAGGTGACTGAGCAGATATTCTGCTCCAAGCCTAGCAGGTGCCTGGCAAGGGCAACATATGGCTGGAGGAGCAGCAACAACACTATCAGAAAAGTACTAGAAAATAATATTCACCTTAAAACAAATGAGAAAGCAGTGCCTGCATTAGGTCTCAACTCAGAATCAGGCAGGCCTATCAGCTCTGATGGAAGTTTCTAGTTAAGGACAAGTAAGGTCTGGCTTCTGTTCCCTCCCACCAGCCCGAACAGTGAAGATGAAACTTGAGGTACAGCCCGGCCCCCCTACCTGGGACCACTACCTGTTTTACTTACACGTGTACAAAGGCAGGGCTGACAGCAGCTTCAAAGCTGGTTGGATGAGCCCCCAGTGCTCCGTCTTCCTCCAAACACCTACAGAGAGTTCTGTGGGTTTCCTAGATACCCACGGTGACTAGTGATGTCCTCTCCAGGTGGACATGGGAGGGCAGTTGACATTGTGAACAAAAGTACAAGTGCACAGGGTGGCCTTCGCAGGCAGGGCACTCGACCTGCAGCTCAAGGGTGGGCTACTAGGATGTGCCCAAGCCGTTAGGCGCCTCTCGGGAGGGGGAAGGACCTAGTCTCTGACAGGGAAGGACCTGAAAAGGTCCGGGAAAAACACATCCAGCTACTGCGACGCCACACCTGGGCCATCTCTTCGAACTTAAAGATACATTAATGACTGTGTAGGGTTCGTTAAAACCCACAAGCACCTCCCTGGCCTCTTAAATCTTCTCAAACTACAGTTCAGACTGGAGGTAAGCAGTTGTAGGAACCATAAAAGTCATCTTAAAAGGCAAGTCGGAAATAAAAAAACAAATGCCCTGATACGTACTAGTTAGCAAGTCCGCGGCTAGGGGGCTGGTGGTGGAGACAGGGCCAGGGTCAGTGGGATCTGCCAGATCAGCACCCCTGAGGTCCCCCGGCCTCGGCACCCATCTGGCACCCTCGGGGGGGGGGGGGCTGATCTGACTTCACGATCAAGCCCCATAGCTCCAAGCAATTAAGAAAATGACTCCGAGAAGACAGAAAGCCGGCAATCAGGAGGGGGCCTGAGCCGGGGGAGGCCAAAGACCAGTTGTGAGGACCCCGCCCGCCACCTCCCCACCCAGCCGGCGAGCGCTTTCAACAGGTCCCCGCCCCGGACGCCGGGACACCGGGGATCGCACGACGCCCGCTGGCGGCTGCCCGGGGCGGGGACTCCCGGACACCCCGAACGGCGCGCCCGGGCCCCCACCTCCACCCCGCGCCGGCCCTCGGGACCACGCAGCTCCCCCAGCCGCGCCGAGTAAAGTTTGTGGGCAGCCGCAGGGGCGGGGCGGCGAGGGGGTGAAACTTTGAGTCCCAGGCCGGGTGCGGGGGGAGCGCGCAGCGCGCCGGGACACCCACGTGCGGGCGGACCCGCCGCCGCCGCCGCCACAGCCGCCGCCACCGCGCGGGCCTCCCGCTCCGCCGCCGCCAACGCCGCGGCGCTTTCATTTTTGCTTCTCTCGCTCCCTCGTTCGCGCGCTCGCCGCGCTCTCCCCACTCCTCCCTTCCCCCTCTTCCTCCTCGCTCGCTCCCTCCCCCCCACCCAGACGCCATCTCGCTCCCGCGTTCCCGGCGCTGCCTCGCTCCCTCCGGCTCCCGGCAAGAGGGAATGTGGAAGGCGAAGGGGAAGACGACATGTTTGCAGTGCGGCGCGGGCCTGCGCGCCGCCGTCCCCGGGGAGAGCGGGGGGCGGGTCGGCCCGGCCGCGGCGACCCCCCAGCCCGCGTCCCCGCCGCCGCCGCCCGGGAGCCGGGCCGCCAGACACTCACCCTGGTCCGGGCGCGGCTCTGCGCGGGCCCCGGCGGGCCGGGCCGGGGTCCGGGGCGCCCACCGCGCCGCGCCGCGCCGCCTCCACGCGCCGCCTCGCCGCTCCCTCCGGCCGCTTTCTCTTCGCTCGCTCGGCGCTCGCGCTCGCGCTCGGCTCCCCCCGCTCGCTCCGCGCTCGCGCTCTCCCTCCCTGGAAGAAGGGAATGAGGCAGGGCTGACGTGAAGGGATGCAAAACAGCTCCTCCTAACCGGCTCGCGGAGGAAGAGAGCAGAAAAGCGGCCCTTTTATCTCTCTTTTGTTTTCTCACTTCCTTCCACCCCCGACACCCCCCTCTTGTCAGCCCAAGTTTCTTTTCTCTTTCTACCGCAGAGAGGATTTTTTTCTTCCTTTCTTTCTCTAGCTCTCGGCTCAACTCTCCTACTCGAATGGAAAGCCTGAAAGCCTCTCTCTTCTCTTTCTCCCCCCTCTGCCTCTCTCCCTCCTCTGCCTCCCTCTCTCTCTCTCTCACTGTTCCTTCCTTCTTTTCTTCCTTCTTCCTCCTTTCTTATTTCTCCAAAAGGGTTTTGTTTGCTGTGGGAGTTTCGTTTGAAAATCAAGTCACGCCTTTTTTTCCTTCTCCCCCCCCCTTCTTTTTATTATTTTTCTCTCCTCTCAGCAGAAAAGGGGAACAAAGATTAACAAGCTGGGGAGAAGGGAGCGTCAGGATCTCGCGTGGAAATGGGGGGGCCCCCGGCCTGCCTGGCACAAAGGGGGCGCGGGGACCCCGCCCCCCGGGGAGCCCGGGTGTTCTCCCGAAGGGGGGCCTGGGGTCTGGGGCGCGGGTGGAGCCCCTGGGTGTCCGACTTCTGCGGGGTGCGGGAGGGGGTCCGAAGCCGCCCCCGCCCCGGCCAGGGGTGGCGGCTGGATGCGCGCCGCACTTCTCTGTTCTGAAGTAGGCAGATGGGCTCCGAGCCACAGTCCCCGCGGAGCGGAGGACAGCTGTTGGCAGCGCCCCGGACGGCGCGGGCGGGGAGGGGCTCGGGATGGCCCCCCGCGGGTCCCCAGGCCCCGCCGGGCCCTGGGACGCCTCGGCCCGCGCAGGTCCCCGCAGGGCTGCTCCCTGCTCCGGGGCCGGCCCGACACCCGGCCTCCGACCCCCGGGACGCCCGGCTCTGAACTGGGACGCGAGGCCGCTCCTCAGGCGCCACGAAGGGTCAGTTATCCCTAAGGCGCCCGGGCGTGCTCGTTAGACCTGCTCCTTGCCCGGCTTCTCCGCAGGAGTGGGGAGAAGCCAGGGGAAAAGTTCCCAGAGCAAAGTTGGTCACATTTCGCATTTTCTCAAGTAAGGATTGAGCACCTGCTGGATGCCTGGGCTGTGGCTTGGGGTCCAGGGGCCGAGGGGGAGGGGCGCAAGGTCCTGGTGACCCCCCCTCCCCTGAGAGTTTCCGCTGGGAACAATGCGAACCAGGCCCGGCGCAAGATCAGGTCACCGAGGAAGAGGAGGAGAGGAGGAGGAGGAGGAGGAGGAAAGCCTGATCCTCTCCCTCCCTCCTCTCTTCCTTCCCTTCCCTTCCTTCCTCCCGGCGGCGTCTCCTTGGCTCCGCCCTCTCCTCATCAATTCCTCCCACACTTCCCTGCTCGCCCAGGCTCCTCGCTGGAGGGTCCCTTCTCCCCGCGAGGAGCAGATGCAGAGCCCCATTGTCTGTCCCCGCCCCCCCCCACCGCCCGCGACAGCCGCGTCCCCGGGACGGGACCTGCCACGCCTCGCCCCTCCCCCAGCGGGGAGGCCTGGGCCTCAGAGACTTCAGCCCCAAGGCCACTGCCCCTCGCCCCACCCTGCACCCGGCTTCGGGTGCTGTGAGCAATGACTTCAGTCACTCAGACATGATTAATTTCTGACTCGAGTGAGAAAACAGAAGCAGGAGTTTGCTTCAGCAAGAAGGACACCATGATTGTGTCACCAGCATACTGAGCCCGAATGGCCCAGAACCTTGGCCCAGGATGCCCCCTTAATGGGGCAGCAGGAAGCCAGGTTTCTGTCACTGCCTACTGTTTCTGGCACCCTCTGGACAAAGCCAACCACAGCTCTGAGAGTCAAGCAAGCATTCATTCAGCAAACTCTTAGATACTGTTCTGTGCCCGCTACCTCACTGGCTGCTCAGGACCGAGGCCTAGGACCTGACCTTTGATCTGTGAGGACTGGAGGGGCAAGGAGCAAAAAGGCTGGCAGCCATAGTATGTGCTTGGACAAGGGTGCTCTGGGAAGGCTTCCTGGAGGAGGCTACTTCTACATAAATAGGGAGGGAACAGCCTGTCCAAGGGCCCCAGTCAAGGACATTCTCACAGGTTCCTGAAGTGTCAGGATAGCAAGTACTTGCGGCCAGAGGCTGGTGTCCTGGCCTAGTGGGGGCAGGGCAGGGTGTTGAAGGTGTTCACATGTTAGCCTCTCCTAGCTTCTGACTTGGAAAGTGGGTGAATGAGTTTGTCTCAGCAAATCTCAGTCTCCTCACTTGGGTAAAATGGGGCCAGAAGCCCCGGGGGGCCACAAAGACAGTGGCTTACATTCTTGGGACAGCTTGTTGCTACTGTCCCTGGGGGAGTGGAGCTCTCCAAGTCTGCACTTCCTCAGCTGCAAAGTGCAGATAACAACACTTAGATTCTCAGAATGCACTCCGGGCTTCAGCAAGCCCTGCTTAGCTTACGGTGCCTAGCTTATGTGAGCACCAGCGCCTGGTCCCTGTTCTTCACTACTAATATACTGTAAGGGAGTGACACCTGGCAGTGGGATGTGGGTAGAACCCAGAGTGACTCACCAGGCCAGAAACACGAAGAGCCAGCCGTGGAGGAAATGTTCCTTCAGGAAGGCTGGATTGCGGAACCCAGGAGGGGTGTGGTGGCACGGCAGTCTGGGAAGTTGAGGCAGAGGGAACCAAAATTTAAACCCAGCCTGAGCAATTTAGATCCTGTCTCAAAACAAAACAAAACTGGGTGTGGTGGCACACACCTATAATCCCAGCACTCAGGAACCTGAGACCGGAGAATCTAGGAGTTCAAGACCAGGCTGGGCTGCAAAGTAAGTTCAAGGTCAGCCTGAAGTACATAGTGAAACCTTGTCTCAGAAAGATTTTTTAAAAGAGAGCCTAGAGATGTAGCTCAGTTTGAAGGTCTTGGTTCACCCCTCACACCAAGAGTCATCTCAAGAACACACAGGACAGAACTGTTGATCGATGGCTGGAGTGTAGCCTGCCTGAGAACCGAATAGGAATAGGAAGCCGTGGGCTGGGAACCTGGAAGGGGCTGAGGAGCAGGTTCTGGGTTGTGCTGGCTCGGGCAGAGAGACAGGAAACTTACATGGGTGGTGGTGGTGGGGAGTGTTCTTGGCTTCTCTTGAGCCCTCAAATCTCTCAGAACTCCCTGGTTCTTTATGTAGGTCCTGGTTCTCCAAGCAACCTTTTTTTCTTTTTTGGCTTTTTGAGACAGGAGCTTGGTATATAGTGCAGACTGGCCCTGAACACCCTTTGTAGCCCAGAGTGGCCTCAAACTCACAGCTATCCTCCTGCCTCAGCCTCCCGAATGCTGAATTATAGGTATGAGTTGCCATGCCCAGCTCTCTAAACAACCTGCAGGTGAACTTGGCACCAGCTAAGTGCCTCCTGGAACCAAGCAAACACCAGTGCCAGTTTCATTTCAGGAGCCCCTGTATTGCCCTCCAGAGCTGAGAATGGGAGGTAGGTTTGTTATAAGATTTATTAAACCCTCATTATTCCCAAAGGGAGGATGCAGTTTAAACATTTTGCACATTTATTATTTTATTGCACAAGTTCATTGGGAAAGAATTTGAAAAGCAACAAAGCAAAACTGAAAAAGAATCCCCATCTACATTAGATTTGAGCATGTAACATTGAACATTTTATATCACCATACCTGTGTGTAAATACACATGAAACTGTGAAATAAATATAGTTAAATACATGACTATGTAAATATGATTTTTAGAAAATTGGAACTGGCATCATACAGTCGAATCATAACCACTTTCTCCTAGTAATGCCTTCTTTGTCTATAAATATCCATACTATCATTCTTAACAAAAGGTATTCCACTGGGGATATAGTTCAGCAGCACAGTACCTGCCTGGCAAGTGCGAGGTCGTGAGTTTTATTCCTGGTACAAAGAAAAAAGAAAAAAGGTGGGGGACTTAGCTCAATATCATAAGTTCCTGCCTGGCAAGCTCGAGGTCATGAGTTTGATCTTGGTACCAAAAAACAAAACAAAACCATTGCACATTGTTTAGCTGGGCATGGTGACACGTGCCTGTAATCCTAGCACTTGGGAGGTTGAGGCTGGAGGATCACTGTGAGTTCCAGACCAGCCTGGGCTACAAAGTGGGCTCCAGGCCAGCCTGAACTGCATAGTGAGACTCTGTCTCAAAAAGACAAAAAACAAAACAAACAAAAAACCCCTGAGATCAAAACAAAGTATATTCCATGGTGGACACATATTATGTATTTTACTTTGTTTAAACAAATTGTTGGACTTGTGGAATATTTGTGGATTTTTGATTCTGTGACTCTACTATGATAAACATTCTTGTACAGCTGTCTCTATGCATCACAGAGCTGCACTTTCTAGGACGCTAGTGTAATCATTTTATAGATGAGGAAACTGGGCTGGGGATATAGCTCAGTGGCATAAGTGCCTGCCTGGCAAGTGCAAGTCCTGAGTTCCAAAAAATTTTTTAAAAAATGAATAAGGAACCCTAGGCATAGGAAAGCTAAAAAATTACTAAGCATGGTGGTGCACCCCTGTAATCCTAGCACTTGGGAGGCCAAGGCAGGAGGATCCCTGTGAGATTGAGGCCCTGGGCTCCATAGTGAATGTAAGTCAACCTGAACTACACAGTGAAACCGAGCCAAGAGAATGTTCCATGACACAGTCACGGCATGAGAAGGTTAGAATGTGCAGCCAGGGTTTCCTGTTAGCAGTTCTCTCTCTGAATCTATTTTCCCCTTTTCATTTTTTTCTGCAGTACTAGGATTTGCACCCAGAACCTTCACACTAAACTACACCCCCAACTTTTTTTCTATTTTTATTTTGAAACTCTCTAAGTCACTAAATTGCCCAGACTGGGCTTGAATTTTGATCATGCTGCCTTAATCTCCCAAGTCCCTGCACTGGAGACGTGTGCTACCTGGTGAAGAGAGACATTCTTGTAAATTATAAAGTCTGTCTGAATGTGAAGCAGCCCTGGTAAAAGTTTAAAATCACAGATATTGCCATTTAGCCGAATCTCCTGACTCACTCAAACTCTGGAGGGAATCCTCCAGATTCACCCTTGGGGATGCACACTGGTAAGTGGGGCTCCCTGAAACATTTCAGGAGCCCCCGTATTGCCCTCCAGAGCTGAGAATGGGAGGTAGATTTGTTATAAGATTTATTAAACCCTCATTATTCCCAAAGGGAGGATGCATACATGATGTAGACCTTCCAGAATGTTCCTATCCATCTCTGAAAAG